TACCATGTCGTGACGAGGCATAATTAATTTGAAGTTCCCATCAACGCTAGTGATCGATATGGCTTGAAGACAGCCTCTGTCACCGAGTTTATTTATTAAAATTTAGATTTTAGATAGTAGATTGAATAGATAATTATTAATTTGTCTTAAAAATATTTTTTTATTTTTTATTACTAACGTATGACAGGAAAACCTTTAGTTATGCATTCCTTATAAATGTTATAGTCTGAATTCGTATTGAGAGCATACTCTATGTTTTTATAAGATTTAAAAAAAATATTTAATTCAATTTAAATACCTATTATATTAAATGTTTACAACTTATTTATTTTATTTAATATGCTTCATACACAAAATGTATAAATAGGTGGACTTAATGCCGCAGGCATTTTCCACCAGTCTGACCTTTGGGTGATGCAGAGAAGAGTACCTAAATGGTAGGTGCAAGGGGTAATCAATGATTTAACAATACAACTTAAAATTAACTGCAACTAAACTATTAAATAAAACGAAAGTAAAAAAAAAGAAAACAGCAAAATTATACCCTTAATTTTAATTTACCCTTTATAAAAATAAACGGTAAGGTGGTCGTGGCATTTATAAAAATTAGCGTAAAACCTACTTCAGAGGAAAGAGAGACAAAATCTGATTTTGAAACTGTTGACATAACTTGTTTCATCAGCTTGTCACAGTAAAAAGGTTACTGTGACATCAAGGTACCACTTTGATCAAAAAGACGAACCAACTAACATTATTAAACTTCCTTCATTTAGTTCTCTTTATTAAGTTTTATTTATCCCCACATCTGTCCAAGTTTACCATCCACCGTAACCGACTGTGCATAATTGGGTTAAATTAACATATTTTAACTCTTTAACCTTACCGCCGTCCAGTTTAATAAAACCTGAGTAAGTTCAAGTGTCGGTACAATTTTCATCATCCAGCGGTTCAAGGGTTTGTAAATTCAGGGTCTGTTATGTTAATTTTTGAGGAAGTTTCCGTGTGTCCATTTTTGTGAATTTATTTTCTTCGTTGCCTTGTCGTCCTCCTTCGTTATGAACTTATTGGTGAGGTGTATTTTCTTAATTTCTTTTTTGTTTTATGTCTTTTCGTCTTCTGCTTGCTTTGTATTCTCGTAACTGTTCTATCAAAACTCAGATTGCTGGAATGGTTAATTGAAGTTCATCTGTTTTCTTTGTATTTCACTTTTTAATTGACTTTAGGAAGACATTCTACTTTTCCAAATCCAAAAGAGTGAACGAGGTTTGAAATTGGTTTTACTACCAAACTAGAACCCTACAATTCAATTCATTACTGCAAAAAGTAAAACGAACATTTGAAATACACTTGAAATTAAAGAAAATTATGTAGCTACCTTAAACAATACAAAACCACAAAACTCTTCAAAATCATAAAGCATTTAATCAGAAATTAAACTTAAAGCCATAAAAGCAATTAAAAACACTGATCAGCACTTATCCACTACGCCAATAAAACCACAAAACGTATTGGAAGCATTGCGGTCACGACATTTGAAATAAAAGTCGCCGGAGGCCGGCCTCACGAGCCACCACTCTAGTGCCGCCACAATCACAGACCGATGCAATTTATCTAACAACGGCTTTAAGAGAAAAACGAATGCGTCGTGCAAAATTCAATTTGCCATGCAAGTTGAGGGTGTCTGGATCACACGGATGGATTTTATGAGGCTATTAAAAAGAACTTGATTTTTTTTTTGGTTGAACTTTTCATTGCGAGTTGATTGTTTTACTTGAAGTTTTAAATTACTCTGAGACAGAGGACGTATTGAATCTATATTAATTAAAGGGAATTAGAATTTCATTGAACCTTTTGCACACACACACACACACATTTACTGCTGTCATCAGATCACGTAAGGAGCTGAAGTTAACTATTATGAATCTCTTATGATGTCTCATTGTCTATAGAATTGTATTTGATATTTTCTTATTAACCACAACACATGTGCCACCGTCTTTGGGCCAAAGACTGGCAATGGTATGACGTCACGATACTCACAATTTCCATAAGTGCATAGTATAAGCACGCCGATGTTTCCCTCAACACGTCCTTGCCTTCATTGCGTGTACCAAGTGCTTACAGCCCCATATGCCAACATCATTTAACCTCAGACCTATCATGGCTGCAATCTCCACATGGATAGGGTACGGAATTCAATTTCCTGTGAGCCACACGTGTTGCGCTACAAACCATTATGATATGAAATTTTGATAAATCACTGAGTGTAGGAATTATGGATGAAATGTATGGGTTTGTAGCAATGGAATATTGTGTTTGAATTGTGTTTCTGTGATTGCGAAATAATAAAACACACATTAATCTTTGTGCAGTACAGTGAATACCATTTTTTGCTCCTCGGTGCCAACAATGTTTGCGGGTCGAGATAACTATTACAATAGCCTAAATATACTCCAAAATCATCAATTAGCGCTGTCAACCAAACGGGAGATATTAATTCGCGTTGCAACCATGCAGAAAATTGTTTAATTGCTCCATGATTTTCGTTTTTTTCACGAAAATAATGGAGGATATACACCTGGAACTGATATAAATTAACAGATGCCATAGAGCAACACCACGTTACTACCGTTGCATATTCAAGTTGCGAGTTTTTTACAGATTTTACCGCCGGACTTGTTTATTTGCTAATACGCCAATAACAAAGTCTACAGTAATTTTTTAAGACGTCAAAACTTTCTAACCAGGGCCTCTAGCCAAAAGCCACTTTAGCGCTTGTCTACAGTGAGAGTAGAAATCAAAATGTATGGGGATGACACTGACAAGTGTCAAAATTTACGTCAATTCCATATAATTTGGTTTTCTACTCTACATGTAGACAAGCGCTAAATGGCATTTGGCTAGCACTGCAGGGCCTCTAGCCAAACGCCACTTTAGCGCTTGTCTACAGTGAGAGTAGATATCAAAATGTATGGGGATGACACTGACAAGTGTCAAAATTTACGTCAATTCCATATAATTTGGTTTTCTATTCTACATGTAGACAAGCGCTAAATGGCATTTGGCTAGCACTGCAGGGCCTTTAGCCAAACGCCACTTTAGCGCTTGTCTACAGAGAGAGTAGAAATCAAAATGTATGGGGATGGCACTGACAAGTGTCACAATTTACGTCAATTCCATATAATTTGGTTTTCTATTCTACATGTAGACAAGCGCTAAGTGGCATTTGGCTACAGCTGCTGTTAATCTTCTTAAAAATGTTTTACAGCAAAAACTAGAACATATTAATTTGCCACTAGGTAATCCTGAAAACATTAACATAATTATGTATTGAATATCTACATCAAATTGTACTAATAGAAACTGATTTGTATAAAATGGTCATTTAGGTGCATTTCCCACTGGGAAAGTAATTGTTCTAAATGCAACTATTGCTCATGGGGTCTCATACAATAAAATGTTGTGAAACGGATATTATGTTATGTATGTTCTAAGTTGATAATCTGAGTAGTATATTGCAACACCCAAGACGGCATCCACAATCAATATAAAACAGAGAGAAAACTTACTGTGTGGGAGAGCCATGCTTCGACACGAATGAGCCCGATCGACCGGAGTGTTACCACGGCCTCACAGAAAAATGACGTGAAAAAATACTTGCGTTGTGTTTCGTCGTATGCGTGAGGTTACCGCGGGGCCCAATTACCCTCCTCTCCAATCTCCGAATCTCCAATAATCCTCAAATTCCTAATCCCCAAAAGGCCGATAACGCACTTGTAATACCTCTGATGTTTCGGGGTACCTGAGGCGGGGTGGAGTAGGCGGATCGTCTGCTCGTTTACCGGCTAATTCTATAAAAAAGTAGGTAGTAAAAATTGTTACTCGATACAATATTGCTAGTTCGAATTAATTTTCTCTGTATAAACTTCTTTGAAAGTTTTGGTCAAAGATGTAGGTCCGTTGACAGATTAGAATTAAACATTAAAATTATATTTATTTAGGTTTCTTTTTATGTAAATTGTGTTAACCTGTAAAGGTTGAGTTTGTAATATTCTTGGCTTTTGATATTTTATATAAATTTTGTCGTTGTATTTTAAGCTAACTAAGGCCATGCAGAATATATTTCTGCCATCCCTATTCATTTCGCCGATTTGTAAGAGCCAAATATTTGACAGAACGCGCGCCTCAAAGAGCCATCAGACCACCACGGATGGGGCCTAATAGGGCTGATGCCGATTCAGAGCCACGGAGAACCAAACGGGTTACCGGCGCTCCGGATCGAAGTGCAGGAGTAGGAACGGGGTGGTTTTTAGTCAGTAAGAGTCTGACACTCCTTCCCGCCTCACCCAGGCGGGAGAAGGCATTCGATCATTTTCCGCTCTTAAAAAAAACCCATTGAACTGCGAAATGATAATATGATAAATGGTGATATTAATGTAGAAAGTTGGATGAAAGTAGAGTAACGAAAGAAGTATACAGAGCGGATATGAATGGGGCCGTCGGTAGAGGGCGCCCTAGACGGACCAGATAGGCGATATATTAAAGAAGGACCAGATTAAAAGTACCCTATAACCGACGAGCATGCATGAAAAGATTGATGACCATCAATGAAGCTAAAAGGCTATGTAAGAATTGTAGCAATTTGCGCTCGATAGTGTCCGCCTGCCGGCTACACTCATGGGAAACAGACGTGAAGTTATGTATACGTATTGTACAATTTAGTCTCTCAAAGTCAAAGCATTTATTTCAATTAATCCTTAAATAGGCACTTTTGAAACGTTAAACATTGAATTGTCCGTCCGTCTGTCTGTCAGTTAAGCTAAGCGCTCATTCCAAAGTATAGTTTCGAATGGAGAAAAACGAGCAAGAAACTCCATCGCTGTCAAATATGAGCTTCCTTATTGAGGTTCTTAAGATAACCTCTGTAAGAGCAGGAGAGGAATAATGTCATTCTAATCTGTTCTCATCACACACAATTTCTATCTTATTGACTTTCAACAATGACCTTTCTCTTTCATCCACAGATGGTGCATACAATGATGCCTATAGCTCGGCCGATTGCCCTGGCAATGTCAGCTGTCCTTACGTTAGCCTACATTGGCCTCGCTTTGGGAGTCCGGCCTGAAGGTGAAGAAACACAGTTTTATCAGCAGGTGTGTAAAAATTACTGAAATCAAATATTCTTCTTAAATACCTGTACATTTGGCACCTTAAGTTTTTTTGAGTTTATAAGTCTATAAAACACAAAGTTTTGTATAAGATTATTTGGTTTAGTAACAAAATGGTTAATCAGAATTTTCTTCTATCTCATAATTAATTTAACATCAGCTTCAACTAAGGTATATGAGATCTGAATTTCTCGTGAAATTAGATCATACTACCGCGTCGTTATTGACATGACAGTACAGAAACATGCCTCTTACTCCGTGTATAGTATGTCTATAGGTACTAGTATTATAATGAATTAGAAAATTGTTTGTCTGTTTGTCACAGTTAGGTTCATATAACTAATGAATTGATCTTGAAAATTCTTTATAGTTCTAAAGTTCTAAATAATACCTCCATATAAATTAACGGGAATAATTAATTTAACAGGCAGGTTGGATCTTTGTTTTAATGGAAACTCAACTCAACTCAAACCGGTCTACTTATCGCAGAGGTTGTGATATACCCCTCACATGTAGTCTATCTATAGGTCTATTATTCTATATTCCGTGGGCCTATAGTACCTCAATGGACAGTTGATGACGAAGACAAAAAAAATACACAAGTTCATCATCAACACAGTGGACAGAGGTGCATATACTTACCATTAGGTGATTCGTCTGCTTGTTTGCCTCCTATTCCATGAAAAAATATACTTAAAATAGATAATTCTAACTTTAAACCAAAAATAACGGTTTACTAACGTGAATATACTGAGAAAAGCTCTACTAGTTTCGAGTCACGAAGGACTCAAGTTCAGCCCAGTCAAAATAGGCGTAATCGTCATTTTTCTTAATTAATTAATTAAATATAGTTCACGATAGTTAGGTATTATAAAAACTCTAACTTTCCATGACTTATCTTAGTTACGAAACGAAACTGTCAATCAGTAACATAGACTTTCCTTCCAATAATTCAACAACTTAAAAACCATGTTTTTGTAATAACTATCGTGAGACATACTAAATTAACTAAGAAACGCGGGTTACTTACTTGAATATACTGAGAAAAGCTCTACTAGTTTCGAACCAAAAGGGATTCTTCCTCATAAGCAGCGTGCGCGGTCGCGGCGATGTCGCGCAGCCTCTGAACCCCTCTGTAGTTCGAAACTCGTACAGCCTTTCCCAGTATATTTACGTGAGTAACCTGCGATTTTTAGTTAACTTAAACACCTCGGATTAAGTTGTTTGCGAGTTTTTTGATCCTCTTAAAAGTGTATCTTTAGATTGTTTTTGTAAAAATTATAATCTTTATTTGGACTTATAATAATTGATTCATAATAGACTTTTATTTGGATTATTAATTTTGTAATAACTTATTGCTAAATACAGGGGATAATTAGAGATATTGTTTGAAATCGACGACCATTTCGAAGGATGTTTGAAATTATTTCTTAATAGTAGCTAGCAACATATTCCTAGAAAAAGAAACAAAACAAAGCTAAGCATGAGCTTTGTCAACCGACTTAAAAAAAAGGAGGAGGTTCTCAATTCGACTGTATTTTTTTTATTTTATTTTAGTTCTCTCATTTTCAAGTATACTGTCGAAAAACTGCATGGCAAAAGTTTCAACTACTGAAAATTTAAGAACTTTCAAAATATGTTCCTCAACTCGTATTTCCCCCTTTTTTTGATGGATCACCTAATGGTAAGCATTCGGCATCACCCATGGACACCTGGAACACCAGTGGCGTTACAAGTGCGTTACCGGCCTTTTGGTGATTAGGAATTTGAGGATTGTTAGGCATTCCGGAATTTGGGAGATTGAAGAAGGGGGGGAGGAGTGGCAATCGGGTCCTCCGATAACCTTACTTACACGACGAAACACAACGCAAGCGTAGCTTCACGTCGGTTTTCTGTGAGGCCGTGATATCACTTCAGTGAAGCCAGCCCATTCGTGCCAAAGCATGGCTCTCATACCCCTCCAAAGCTACACAAAACACAATCATGTAGCATGTCAAACAAAATATCGATACCAATTCATGCTCAAAGTTTCGTGGTGTCACACAACTTGCGTTGACACCGTGTATCTATACCATTTATCCAACCGATAGTTGGCAACTTATCACCAACTAGTTCATTACGAACACAAAGTTGTATCGGTACTTGTATCATACTATTGTCAGGTCTATGGATGTTGTATTTAACTGTGAACTTGGACTTGATTGGAATAAGTAGCTTTGGAGTTTTTTTTTATACAAAATGGAGTTGAGCCTATCGTGTACATCTGCTGAGTAAGTCCAAATACCAGGGTGTTAATAATGTTAGTATTTTTTCGGTTTACGAAAATTTTGAAGTAAGAAAACGTCATCACCATTTAAAGGATTTAAATAATTATTACAAATCGTTCTGGTAAAAAGTGGCTGTTACATTATAGAGGTACATAAGAGTATATTTTCTTACAACTAATAATACGACTACCTCGTTGGCTGAGTGGCCACAAGCGCGACTGGCGGGAAAGGGTTCTCGGATTCGATTCCCGTATGGGTAAAGTATAACTAGGGATTTAAAAAAAAATTAGTAGTAGCACGGAGTCTGGAATTGTGCCCGCTATATAGCAATAGACTCACCCCCTATTACATGGGGCTCTTAACATAAAAAGTGATAAGTGGGTGTTATATTGTACAGTTGCATTAAGTGTCGTAACGTGGACCTTTGCCTACCCTCGGAGATAAAAGATGTTGATGTTATAAGCGTACTTCTGCCTTCGGGGATTTAAAAATCCCTAATGTACTTCAATTAGCATAAAATAATTATATCTTGTTGTTTTGTTGTTATAAAGAGTTAATTAAAATGGTGAAGTTTTCAATTAAAAAACGAATAAGGTAAACAAGTTTGAACTTGCAACAGACAATAGTTACAACTTCTTTTGTTTCATTCCTCTATTCATTTCATTGGAGTGTGTTTTCAAGGCAAAATGTTTTTTTTCCACAGCCAGTTGACAGAACGCGCCTGACAGTTCGAGATAAGCAATAACTCCCGTTTGCTAATTGTGCGCGTTGCTATATATATTATTGCAGGCGTATAAAATATGATTATACATTTTTTATTTAAAAACAGTTGTTGTTGTGAGCATTGAAACCATAATCGCCAAGAAACTGACAACTATATACACAACACACAACATCACGCCTTTTATCCCCGAAGGGGTAGGCACACAGAAGTAACGCCCACTTTTCACTATTTATGTTATGAGTCCCATGTAATAGGGAATGAGCCTATTTCCGTATACCGGGCACATTTCCAGACTCCGTGCTACTACTGAATTTTTTTTTTAAAACCCAGTAATACTTTGCCCGACCCGGGAATCGAACCCGAGACCCCTTACCCGGCAGTCGCACTTGCGACCACACGGCCATCGAGGCAGTCAGGCAGGCAACTATATACATTTTAACTATAAGTTAATATTATAAAAGACAAAAAGTACGGATAAAAGTAAACTGTAAATAAGTACATCTTTGCTCACCCTTATTTAATATTATAATTGTAGAACAAACGACCAAAATTGAAATCTTTAATCAAATAATTTTCACAAGACAAAACACAAAGCCACATTATATTAAAACATAAACAATTTGAGGGCACACAAAGTTTTCACACCCTGTATTAATAGATATCCAAAATTGTCGAGGAAGGCTGTACGTCTTCGAGTATATGAGAAAACTTCGCTCATTTTCTTCTTAGGGTATGACACTGAGGATTTGAGTTTAAAATTTAAGATGGGAGGACACCTGAGCAGGCACCCTCCGCCTTTTACTTGATCCGGAATGTTTGTATGTCTATGATTATGCGAGTTCGTAATTTTGTTGGATTTTATGGTTGTTTTGTGATGGTAAGTGCAGCTGCTAAGATTAATAACATCCTAGACTCGATAAAGGGAGAAATTAATTATTTATAGAACAACAAGTCGCGATGTGTGTCTCTTCTTTGTGCCTTTAGGCTTAATTCATTCTGTCTCCTGCAGTAATTCACCGAGGGAAGCGGAAACCATAGTTTTTTCTTCTTCTCCTCTTATAATATATTCTGCTTCACTTCGTTGCGGGAACCAAGACTCATGTCCCTGGGACGCGTCGGACTTCAGTGTTCCGGTGTTTTCAAGGTTGTATCTACTGTAGATCCTGGCTTACAGGAGTTGCAGCGGTTTTGGAATGTTGTGGCGGGCTTGTCCCATTAAAAAAAGTCACTATGTGTCTCCATACCGATTTGTGAGACAAAAACGGTGATTGATATTTATATGAAAATTGATGAAGAGGTAAAAACTACAAGCTTTGTATTACTGTTGCAACTGCACGGTTGGCGCGGTGGCTGGGCAACTGGCTGCCGCGTAACGTGTCGTGGGTTCGATTCCCGCACGGAACAACTCTTTGTGTCATACACAGATTGTTGATCCGGGTCTGGGTGTCATGTGTAGGTATGTGAACTTGTATGTTTGTAAACGTACCTACGGCACAGGAGATAGTCCTAGTGTGGGGACACGTTTTTAAAAAAGAAGAAGGAAGAAAGAATAGCAGAACAACTATTTAAATTAATAAAAAACCTATTTTAATAGTATCGACATTAAATCCAAATGTACCCATTCCAACATGAAAAGCCACAAAATAGACCAAAACAAAAAAAATCCTCGTGTAAACCTTTTCGTGTCTATTCTCAATAACAATTGTATTATTTGTGTCCATGAGCATTATATACAACCTTGACACCCGCGCTGTCTAATAAAATGCTACAGTACCCTTGACTGTACCCAACCTACCCTGAGCAATAAACATTGAGGATTTACTCAACCAAAATATACCCTAGGAACATCGTTATGAACAATATCTATGTACTTACTTTTTTGGGAATATTAAATTGTAATGGTTGAGGATAATCAGATTTTTCTTGGGGGTGAAAATGAAAGCGTACATTTTTTGCAGCAAAAACATTTTTTTCTTTATGTCTACTACAAATCTAGGTAATGTAATCTGTGTCTATATAACATAACATAACATAACTTTACGTCTTTTATCCTCGAAGGGGTAGGTAGAGGTGCACATTATACCACTGTACAATGTAACACCCACTTTTCACTATTTATGTTATGAGTCCCATGTAATGGGGGTGAGCCTATTGCCATATACCGGGCACAGTTCCAGACTCCGTGCTACTACTGAGAATTTTTTAAAAACCCAGTAATACTTTGCCCGACCCGGGAATCGAACCCGAGACCCCTTGCACCTGGCAGTTGCAATTGCGACCACTCGGCCAACGAGGCAGTCTGTGTCTATATATGTAGTTTATTGTATATCTGATTCACTGCAAATAATAAAACTGAACCACGCCTAAATTATGTTGCACGTTAAATAAATTACCAAATTCATTATGCATCGCGCAATCTATGCAAAACGGAAGATTTATGTTGTACGGCTTTACAAAATTTAGTACCGGTTTAATGCATATTTCTACCAAAAAATAGTCATAGTTCTCACAGTGGTATACTTTACATTAGAAAATTATCTTTAAGTAAGTATAATATAAGTATAGCTAGTAGTAGAAATTATCCCATTTATTATAAGTATAGTGAAAATATCCTATTTGTGGTGGGGTAATATTCATATTATGTATTTTAGTCAAAGTCAAAATCATTTACTTCAATTAGACCAGGAAATTAGTTTTATACGTCAACAATAAAAATTTAAAAGTGAAGCTGTTTGCTCATTCCAAGGTGTAGATTCTTATGGAGAAGAACGAGCAAGAAACTCCATAGGTTACTCTTTTCCAATCAGGTTCACAATACAATTCTCCAGTAACATAGTTTTATTGGTTCGATTGTGCGAGAATTTATAGAATACAATTATTGTTGCTATTACTTTCCTCTCATAGAATTTGGTCTGGTCCCACTCAGCAAGTTTAAACACGACATGGAAAAAGGTCCCAATCCTAATTATGCAGAGTGTGGCATCGTGGAGGATATCCACCACTTGCTGGTTGAATCTATCAGGACGAGGGCTGAGAGAGAGGCCTTGATACATATATTTAGAATTAATTTGTTAAATGTTGGCATTTTTCCAAAGCAGCTGCCTTAATATATCAAAATGGTAAATAAGAGAAGTATTTAAGTTAGGTAATGTAATTTTTGTTAAATATTTTTAGGAAATGATGGGTTTGGTATGGTTTTGTGTGACTAAAAGACCCACCATTTCTAAAGATAAGAAAAAGAATCTTCCACTCAAACCTTGACGACATTAACCCTCATTCACTTATACATGTCCAACGACTAAATAGTCCCTCTTTGTTCACAGCTGGTCTGCGAGCTAGCCCTCCTAATATCAGCCAGTGGCATCGGTCTGTACTACCGAGCTTTAACAGAAAGAGCACATAGGAACACTTTCGCTGGCACCAGGACTTGCCTGGAGCAGCGAGTGAAACTGGAGTGTGAGAGAGAGCAACAGGAACGATTGCTCCTCTCTGTTATACCTGCGTATATTGCTGCTGAGGTAAGTGACATTTTTGATGATGGTTTTTTGCAGGGTTGAACCTACAATATATGATAATTTTGTAGAAAACGTTTAAATGTGTTCAATGATTTTTGTTTGGCGTTTGATAAAGGACAACTGGAGGAATTCTTAAGGAGGACGTTTGATCCCATGCCAGCTTTATGAAAAAGTTATTGTTAAGCAAAGTGTATGTTGGCATTTAAGAGGGGTCAGACCGCAGTTACTAGGTAAGGTCTTTTTTAAGTCTAGTAACTGCTACGCATACCTACACATTTTGATTAAAAATTCTAGGTTTCAAAATTCTAGTTTTCTGTACACATAGGCTTAGACGCAACACAAATACACGAATTGAGTTCTAAAAACAGTTTCTCCAACTATTATAACCTACCTACTTACATAATAGAATAAACGACATTTTAACAAAGTCTCGTCCATCATACAAATAGTCCGTTAAAACCCAGCTAAGATTATTATCAACGCAATTGATTCTAAAGTTCTTTCACCCAAAAAATCCAATTCCTTTATTTCTGTCCCACCTTTCAAAAATCTCATTACAAGTTTTAAAGGCTTTCCTTACTGTTAGAGGGCACCTAGTGGATCAGATGGAAGCCGAACTTCATTGATGCTCAATTGTCTGGAAACGCAAATCTATCGATTATCGATAAGTGTGAGGCTGTGGGCTGCGAGTCAGTGTCATAGGAATTGTTCACAATGGTCACAATGGACGAGGAGATCCGAGATGGTATGGTTTTTTAGCGCAAATGTGCTACTTACACTTATTTGCTTGCCATCCCGCATTGAGCAAGCGTGGTTAGGTTTGATTAATGCTCAAACCTTCTTCGTGCGAGAAGATGCCTTTGGTCAGTAGTGGTTATTGATGTGTGTAATATTTTATATTGAAGTTTTATTGGGAGAATCTCATAAGATATGCAGCAAAAGTGTAACCAGAAAGGAGATGCGAAATGCGAATGCAATGTAAGTATCTTTACTTAGGTCTTCGCAAAATGACTAATTGTAATCCGAATAAAAATCCTAATCTTGCAATTAAATCCATGAGATTTTGTACCCGATCGCTATTTGAAAGGGCATTGACTAAAATTGGTGCCTTTCTTTTTTCTGGCGGCAGTCGATGATTTATGGAAAATATTATCTAGAAGGACATTACAAACGAAATTGTATATGGAAATCTCAGTCTGGACCGAGTTATGACCGTTGAAAGGAGCTGGAGTCAAGCATTTTACTTTGGTTTTTTTATTCAAATTATTCATATTTTTGTCACAATTCCTAACTTCTAATTGCGAGCCAGTCTACGCCAGACACAGAAACACCATATCACACGACAATATATCCATGTTACCGGTCGCTAATTTTTATTAGCTATTTTCTCTCAGTCGATTACTTGTGGGATGCTTCTAGGAGTTGTGTCATGAAGCTTCAGGAGTGTCAGCTGTGGTACCAGTGGTGGGTTGAGTAGTGGTAGCCGTTCAAACATCTAATAAAGTATTATTTTCTTGCCGTTGACTCCTGGTTGGAGACTTCTCTACTTTATAGTTAGCATAATCTTTTGAAGAAAGGAAACCGTCGACTTTGTAAAGTAATGGACTATACGTCAGATGAGCGCATAATTTTTTCATATAATGTGATCAGTCGAAATATAATCCATCAGTTTGTGACTGAATGACGATGTCTTTGTACAAAATCTTATGCTAGCTTTAGATGAAAGTATAAACTGTAGTTAGATTAGTTACTAATCGGAAGTAAGTTGTGAGAAGTAGACAGGAAAATGATTTCTTCGTGTTTGGACGACTGCCACTACTCAATCCGCTACCGACGCCGCAGCTGACAAACATAGCATTTCATGATAGGGCTCAGTAAAGTATTTTACGGGTTTTTGACTGAGAGGAAATTGATAATGAAAATATGTCATAGGCCATAAACTGTATATATATAAATTGAATACGCTAGCCAATCAAGTGAAATGTTTTTTTTTAACTTCAGCTGTGGTCAGTTAATTGTTCACTCTGTCCTGATTCCGTAGCCTTATAACAAAAAAAAAAAAAATTACAACCGAAAAAAAGTAAGTAATAAAATCCACAATAAGCTTTGTTATATTTCTTAAAAATGTTTATAAACATTTATTACAAAATATTTCTGACAAGTAAATGAAGAAAGCATTGTGCATGGTCACCATCAACAAAATAACAGGAATAATATATTATAACAATTTTCACATCTTTGAACTGATTTAACTCGATTTGGACTGTGTTTTTGATATAAGGCCCCATATATTTTTTTGTTTGTAATGTTATTTTGCATCAGTTTTTGCACATCCGATCAACTGCCGCGTGTAAAAGGCACCACGCTCCATACAAATTTGGTCATTGTCATTTACCGACTTCAATTTTATTTATAACAAAGACTGTCATAACGTCTTCATTTTGATATTTAATTCAACATAAAGACATCACAGGAAAATCGCAATAAAGCACCTATAATAAAGATATTCATTACTATGATACATTGAACATATTATTACGGCAATGATTATTCAGTACAAGCCACTGCTCGCATCTTAATTAGCTGGTTTAATCTCTTAAGAGGTCGTGTGCTGACGGGATTTCATTTGCACGTTGCAACAAGTTAATTATGCCTTGAGGCATGTGTTAAAGTACCTGTGTAAGAGGACTCCGCGTGGTAATCTCGAGAGGATTTGTGGACATGTAGTTAAGTATATTATCTTATACCTACTATTATATAAAGCGGAAGAGTTTGTTTTTTTGTTTGTTTGTTTGAACGCGCTAATCTCCGTAACTACAAGTCTGATTTGAATAATTATTTCTGTGTTGGATAGTGCATTTATCGAGGATGGCTATAGGCTATAAAACATCGCGCTACGACCAAAAGGAGCTGAGCAGAGCGTGTGAAACCGCGCGGAAGTAGCTAGTGTTCATATATTTGGATGTAGACTTGTGTAACTAGGTATGCACGCATGTCGATATTGTTCTTTATGTCTCATATTCAGATTGTTGTTAACTGAAAATGTACCTATTTATAAGGACGTATGTTTCTATTTACAGAGTTATAGAAAACTTACCATGTATTTCTTTTGTCTATTTGTTGATTGAGTAAACAGATTTCTTATTTTAATGGGACAAGCCTGCTATCGCTCCAATTTCTCTAAGTTTGGATCTACAGTAGATACAACCATGAAATACCGAAATACTGAAGTCCGGCGCGTCCCAGGGACATGAGTAACTGTCTTGGGTAAAAAAGTCCTTGATATTTTTTTTAAATTATAACGAACTGAATTTTAGTCCAATCAACCACTAAAAGTAATTAAGTACCGATTACTTGATATTAGCACTTCTTTGATAAAATACTACATAACATACGCACACACTAGCGAACCTAAACATTACATTGACCTTACAATTTGAATTATAGCAAGTTCATTACCAAGTGACAGTTCATGACAGGTCACACCTATCTGACCTTACCCTTGCCACGTCATCACGATAAATTGTTTGTCATTGTTTTTTAGCTATTAAGATGATGACAATGATTATTATGATGAACTGATTCCGACACAAACCTCTTATACAATACGGATAGAGTCTAAATTCTTAAAAACATAAATCTTGGTACCTGTTAAAATGTAAATTGATCAAATATTACGAATATTTTGACATAGAATCAATATTATACATACGATGGTAATAAAGGATTTTGACTTGGACTAGATTTATATCTGTATTCATATCAGGAATTTCATAATCACATATGTACCTACATCACTTGTGAACAATTTTATGGGGTTTCGGGTGGAACGTTTCGAAAATGTTCCAGGCAAAAATAATAGAGTTATTTAAGGTCTATCCGGTATAAAAATAAAACCCGTGGGACGAGCTGTTGATATGTTATTTTTGGAATCGAATTCGCCCATTGACGAGAATTTTGATTGCAAGGCGGAATTTGCGTTGGCTTGTGTATTTTTGGAAATTTACGTCATTGTAGGGTTATAATAAACCCTCTAGCATGGCTTGAAATTAATCGAGTTCTTCGTCAAATTATTACGCGAGTAAGTCGAAAATATAATAATTTATTTAGTATGTCGCGCGCGCAGCCTATTGGACTGCCGCGATCGCGCCCGCTGTTCATGAGGAAAAACCCCTCTGTGGTTCGAAACTAGTAGAGCTTTTCTCAGTATATTCACGTGAGTAACCCGCGATTTTTACTTAATTTATTATGTCTCACGATAGTTATTATAATAACTTATTTTCTCACGAAAGCTACGATAGGTACATACAATAAACCCATTTGAAAATTGTAGTTAAAAATCATTGAAGCTTGTCAAATACACCTTTGACAAAGACCGGCCAGCAGTGCTTTTTAGGTAAATCTGAACCTTTTAAACTGCTATCTCCAAACTGCTTGCCAAGCGTTAAGACTGTGGCAATATCTTTTACGTAAAGGAGGTGTATAGTTCAGCAATGGACTTTTTTTAATGGGACAAGCCCGCCACAGCCTCCCAAAACCGCTGCAATTCCTGTAAGCCAGGATTCATCTACAGTACATACAACCATAAAAATACGCGTCTCAGGGACATGAATAACTGTAAATTTAGAAGATATTATAAAAGGAGAAGAAAAAATCGATAGTTTCCACTTCCCAGTTCAGCAGAGGACTGTCAATATCAATGTTGATGAAGGCCTTCGAGAGTTTGTTTGACCTACATACACATCTTCCATGGTGTGAATCAATGCACAAAAAGCCTCACGACCCAGTCGTGACTCAAACCGCAACCAGTTCACTTGGTCACCTATTTAATTTAACATCTGAATCAATATTTTAACACTTGAAAAATACAGACATCACGACAAACAAACACCCTTTTATTTTGCGAGGTGAAGCAATCAATGTATAACCTTATTTGACTAATGTTAACGCTGTAATTTGTGTAGAAACATTTTAAGTATTTGTTGACAGGTCTAATTATTTAGATTTTATGCCAAATAATGTGCTGTAGTGTTTTATACTTTCAGTATATAGGTTTAAAGGCTAAAATGGAATATTTAATAGAATTCAGACCACTTTTTCTTTGTCGAAAAGCTTTTTGTTTTAAACATAGTGCATGACGTAGGATTTTTTGTAGTTTCAATCTTATGTGACCTCGTAAAAGGTTTATAATTGAATGAGGGTCGGCTTTGTGCATGACACGCAATCCTAAGCCTACGTCAGCACTTGTTGCTACTATAGAAATGAGTTTAAACTACGAAGTTTCATTGATTTTTCTATTTAACTTGAACTAGTGAACTTGTTACAATAATTTCTTGACATTTCTTTGATCAAGTCAAGTAAATTTTCTTGTTTTCAGTTTAAGTAATTCTTTATTGAACATTTCTATTATATTATTATTTAGAGGTATATTTTCTCCTATGTCGTGGGTGCGATTACAAACATCCAAGTTCAAATACACATGACACCCAGACCCGGAACAACAATTTGTGAATCACACAAAGAGTTGCTCCATGCCCGGAGCGAACTCGCGATACGTTGCGCGGCAGCCGGTTGCCCAGCCACCGCACCAACTGTGCAGTCGCATTTGTAAACAAATATTATGTATTCTCCGTACAATGTTCACTGAAACAGACAATCGTTTGCTTTTGATTTAGCTACCATTAACAGTGGGCATAACGCTTATAAGCTATATTACGTACGGTCGTTTGATAAACGACTAGGTATCCTAATTTACATTATTGATACAGTTTTTATATACAAAACCTTTTAATTTTTTACATTGGTCATAGTTTTAAGCTATGGACTTTAATACTGACAGTTTGAAATAAGAAGTTTGTATAATATTGTGTCTGTCGATATATGAGATAGAATAGAAGACGAATTATGTCTCGCGTAAATCTATGTTCCGACAGACAAGTTTAAGAGCTGCCATTTTTTAGTAAAGGCAGTCTTTCGGTCGGCTCTTTCGATATCAGCAGGAAGAGGTCGGCTGTTGACAAATGTTCCTATTTAACTCAAACATCTCCACACAACTTGACGAACAAGATTTGTACAAATAATTATGTAAACTATACAATAGATTGACCTTCAAATATTATTGACATCCGACCATCCGACTCAATATTTACTTTACAAATGCCCATATATTTCCGAGTACTATTAACTATAGTAACTACGGTACAAAAAATTTAATTTAATTAGAAATTCAAAGAAAATTCTGTATTTAATGTAGGCATTAAATAAAGTAACAATTTTAATAGAAATTACGTCATTAATTCTAAATTTTGCAAATGTTTAGACTCTAAGACTAATAATTACTTACTTTTCGCTTAGAATTAGAAATGTGTTGACCTTTGCTCTTAATAACTGAAAGAAAAACTTTTTGTTTCGTCAAATGTAATAATTTGTGAAAGAAAAATATAATAGAGTCCGTTTTCCTTTGTAAATATTCATCTATGGATTTGTTTTCATTGTTGTACGTTACGGTACTTTCTACGCGCAACGATTAATATCTACTGCAGGGAGAACTACAAGAATAAAAAGGCGTGACAAGTACTAGACATAAATGCATAATTTTAAAATATGATATCCTATTTACACCGTTAGTGTTAGGAGTTCGGAGGACTTAACGGGTTGCCGGGGCTCCGGCTCGAAGGGCAGGAGTAGGAGCGGGGTGGTTTTTAGTCAGTAGGAGTCTGAAACTTCCTCCCGCCTCACCCAGGCGGGAGAAGTCATTCGACGATTTTCCCCATTAAAAAAGGATCTATTGATAGATGATAATCGCCAGCCACAATAGACATGAAATTATTGAAAATTTTCTAATAATGATATCGTTAATACAACCTGATACTCAACCACATATTTCTAGAACCTGCTTTCTTCTTTATTTATGTTATAACTATCGTGAGACATACTAAATTATTTATTATATTTTTCGACTTAGCAGCCATCCGCGGGTCGCGGAATGCTGCTCATGAATATGAGCCTCTAGCATGACTTGAAACTAGTCGAGTTCCTCGTCAAATAATTACGTGCCTTCTTCTATATTCTTCTCGTACCGCAACGTAGATCCTTGCACTATGGACTTGCTCACGAGTCCGTGCGTGGCATTACAAGCAAGCGACTGTTATTCCGTCCGGCCGCATTACGGCCAACATGTTAATATCCTGACCTACTCCACATACTTATAATTGTTTAGAAATGTCACTAATTTGTATTAGAAAATTGACACTTTCTCAGACGTTAAAAAGTGAAAATTGCGACAGTCGATGAAAAATGTCGAACAGATATTTTTCTTACTTTGACTAAGTATTAATGAGCATGTAACATGACTTTCGACTCCAAATTTCATCCTTAAAATATTGTATTAAAAACGTTTACAAACACACAATTTAATATACAGAAAAAATGGGAGCCTGATGTATATTTTAAACCTTATATACATATATCAGACTTTAGTTCAAATCTCAAGACCTTTTTAAATCTGAATTGACCACTCTTGTTACTATCATAAAGCAAAGACATCCACTATACTACTTAAAGAACCTTACTTACATCCAGAATCTTAGGAATTCATATTCCTAGAAATATCTACCCAAATCTTCTCAAGCACAAACTAACACCTTTGTTTTATCCTATAATGATCTGTTCTACTCAATTGAAGAGGATAACAAGCGTGCAAGTCATGTAGACAGAATATTGTTATGTATTCTTTCGTCCATCTTTTGAAGTACCTAAATCTGATTTTTTGATAGATCTTGACAGTTTTTGTGTCTAGACGTCGTGAGTACTAACTAACTATAAATAAGATCCTTCGTTTCGTGTTCTGATTCTGAATGAAAGTCTGTCTGTCCATGGCGACGACGTGATAGAAAACCGACGTGAAGCAACGCTTTAGTTGTATTTCGTCGTGTGAGTGAGGGTTACCGTAGGCTCAATCTACCCATCCCCAATCTCTCCAATCTCTGAATCCTCAACAATCTTCAAACTCCTAATCCGTATAATATGTAATTTGAAAAGTAACGCACTTGTAACGACTGCACGGTTGGTGCGGTGGCTGGGCAACCAGCTGCCGTGCAACGTGTCGCGGGTTCGATTCCCGCACGGGACAACACTTTGTGTGATCCACAAATTGTTGTTTCGGGTCTGGGTGTCATTGTGTATGTGAACTTGTATGTTTGTAAACGCACCCACGACACAGGAGAAAATCCTAGTGTGGGGCAACGTATTTAAAAAAAAAAAAAAAAAAAAAAAAAAAAAAAAAAAAAAAAAAAAAAAAAACGCCTCTGGTGTTCCAGGTGTACATGGGCGGCGCCATTACATTTCATAGTTTCAGTGATTGGACGAAAAGGATCTAAATCTACATTAGCGACATCTGGTAAGCGCAGCAGTGATAACCCTCAGTAATATAATACATATATCTCATGCTACGTGACATTCCACTATAAAAATGTGTCAATAAACATATGACTCAAAGTCATTAAAAATATTATGGAAAAAATACTAAATAATGCAAACTCCAGGTTTTTTCGAGGACATTACTGACGTCAATGCAATAAACTCTAATTTTTATGGAAGGAAATAATTGGCATAATAATATTTATGTGATATTTTAATGATAATAACTAACATACAGGTAAAATGCCCTATAAACGTCATCTTAAATTACCTATATTATTACTAGCGACCCGCCCCGGCTTCGCACGGGTGCAATATGCATGTATTATACATATTATAAACCTTCCTTAAGAATCACTCTATGTATTAAAAAACTGCATCAAAATCCGTTGCGTAGTTTTAAAGATCTAAGCACACATAGGCACAGACAGACGGCGGATAGCGACTTTGTTTTGTACTATGTTATGATGATTGTTTTTTTTATGTTTCTATTTTGAACCAACCTTTGTTGGTGCAAAAATATTTAGCGTATAATTCTCTGTTAATACACTTATTGCATATTATTATTATTATTTTTTTTTTTTTTTTTTTTTTTCCGTTTCCGGCATCCGAACTGTCAACACCGTCGTGACAAACTCCGAGTGAAATTAAGTGAAATAAAATAGTAAACGTAACTTTTGGTAACTATTAGTGGCTAATATTCGTCGAGTCAATACTGGGACCTCTTGGAAGTGACAAAAAAACATACAGTGAAGTGCGATTACTGGAATCCATCGTGGATAATATCAAAATAATATCAACATAATAAATATTGGATTGGAGGTAGAAGTAGAAAACAAGAAATCGTTCGTTCACCCAGTGACACTTGACGTTAACGTCAATGAATCTAACTGACATACTAAATAGTGTTGCCAAGTGAAAAAATTGTTGATACCATATTCTACTATTGCGTTTCGTTACACGTAGATTCAAAATACAAGATGGAAGGCCAATTTCAAATATTATTTGAAAAAATGAAATTAGAGATGCAAAACCAAAATGCTGAACTGAAGGATTCTATAACAAATAGTATTATGGAAAAGATGGATGACAAACTAATCCCTATTATCGAAGAAAATAAGAACCTGAAAACTGAAATAGGAAAACTAAAAAAAGAAATCGATTTTCTTAAGAGGGCTGGAAAAAACAATAATATTATAGTATTCGGATTAGAAGAAAACGAAAAATCCTCTTATGAACTGATACAAAAGCTCAAAGAAGCCTTTAATCAAGACTTGAATATTAAAATGGAAGAATACGATATCAACAAAATTCACCGCTTAGGAAATAGAAATAGAGAGAGCAACAAACCGAGACCAGTGCTATGCTCGTTTATTAGCAACTGGAAAAAGACCGAAATTATCAAAAACAAAAAGAACCTAAAAACTATATACATTGCGGAGGATTATTCGAAGGATGTGTTGGAAAAAAGAAAAGAGCTTCAAACCAAATTAATCGAAGAGAGACAAAAGGGCAATATAGCATATCTGAAATACGACAAACTAATTGTCAAAGAAAACAACTATAGCCAAGAGAAAAGGAAAAGGGAAATATCCGCCTCACCCTCCTCAGATAACAACCAACCAAAAAAAACAACAAACCGTAAACACAATGAAGACAAACAGGACAAATGCTTACGATTTAATGCGGTATAGATCCAGCTCGCTGTCGAATATGCCTAATACGCATAAAAACCAATAGCAACTAACAAACGGCAAACGGAAACCAAAACCAACCAAAGAAACTAGGAAAAAAGAATTAAAACTACGAACTCCCCCAAGCCGACTGGTCCTCGAGGGGGAAAGCGACCACAACCCTCCAACGTCTAAAAACAACAGCCACCGAAAATCAGTAATTTACATAGCATCCCTTAATGTACTCACCCTGGGAAAAGAAGAAAATCTTACGGAACTGACTTATGCGCTAGAATGTATTAAATGGGACATAATAGGTTTGAGCGAAGTGAGAAGAATGGGCGAAAGTATTACTTGTCATCCAGACTATCTGTTTTACCAAATAGGGGAGACGCAAGGCCAATATGGGGTAGGATTTATTATTAAACAACATCTAAAACAATATGTGGAAGAATTCATAGGAATCTCAGAACGCATAGCGATTGTAAACTTGAAACTACCAGGATATAGAAAACCGTGGTCTATTGTACAAATTTATTCCCCTACAGAGCAATCAAATTTGGAAGAGATAAACAATTTTTACCATATTTTAAACGAAGCCATCCAAGATTACAGTCATAAAAACCTTATAGTAATGGGTGATTTTAATGGCCAAATTGGAGCACGACGCCCAGGAGAAAACGCAATACTGGGGCAATTCTCATATAGTAACAAAACCAGAAGCAGAAACGGGGAAAAAATCACAAACTTCGCGCTAGAAAACAAATTAACAATCTTAAATACTATGTTCAAGAAGAACCGAAAGGGCAGGTGGACTTGGATCTCGCCGGATGGTAAAACAAAAAATGAAATTGATTTTATAATGACTAACAGAAACAGCTACTTCACAAATTTCACCGTCATTAAAAGACTCAACTTCAACACCAACCATAGGCTACTCAGAACTGAGCTCAAAATAAATCAACCTAAGAAGAATAGACCGACGGGACCCAAGAAACACGAAACTCAACGAACAGCAATTAGAACAATTAACAACAGCCTTAAAGGTCGAATTTGAAAACTTCAAAGAGAACACGAAGGAATTAAAAACCCAAGATAAATACAATTATATGGAAAATGCTATCAAAACCCAAACTAAACTCATAGCAGATACTAAAGTTGATGCAAAAGGATTACTATCAACAGCCACTAAAAAACTCCTAGAAGAAAGAAATCACCTTATTAACCAAAGAAATACTCAAAATAGAAGACAAAAATTATCAAAAATCAGCAAAGACATCAATGAGAGTATGAGAAAGGATAGAAAACAACGAAGGATGCAAACAATAGAAAATTTCATACAAAAAACCGGTGGAATTAAAAAAGCACTTAAAGAATTGACTGCCACGAAGAACTGGATCGTAAAAATGAAAGACGACCGAGGAAAATTCGATCACAACAGGGTCGACATATTGAAAACAGCTACGTCATTCTACAAAAATCTATACCGAAACAACACTACGCAAGCAGAAATCAATCCAGTGGAAACCTCGAACATCCCCAGTATTCTTGAAGTTGAAGTCAGTAAGGCGATCGATACCCAAAAGAGCGAGAAAGCACCCGGACCTGACGGAATAAGCAATGAAATTTTAAAATATAACAAAAAGATCTTGATACCTATCCTCACAGATATCTTCAATGACATCACGAATACTGAAATCATCCCCCAGCAATGGACCGAGTCTCACATCATCCTACTATACAAGAAGGGTGATAAATATGACATAGGAAATTATCGCCCTATAAGTCTTATGTCCAATATATATAAGATATTTGCTAAGATCATCTTAAAGCGGATCGAAAGAACCTTAGACGAAAACCAACCTATAGAGCAAGCAGGATTCCGCAAAGGTTACTCAGTGATCGACCATATTCACGTAGTGCGTCAAATCCTGCAGAAATTCAACGAATACCAACTAACATACTACATTGCATTTGTCGACTATAGCAAAGCATTCGATTCTCTACAACATGATAAAATATGGGAGGCGTTACTAGAACAAGGAATTGAGCATAAGTACATCCGATTAATAAGAAACGTATATAGCCGCAGCAGAGCAAGAATCCAACTAGAAAAGAAAAGTACTCCTTTCAGAGTGGAAAAAGGCGTAAGGCAGGGAGACCCCTTATCTCCGAAATTATTCTCCGCAGTACTAGAATCAATCTTCCGGAGACTTAATTGGGAACACCTCGGAATTAATATAGACGGTCAACTGCTTTCGCATTTAAGGTTTGCTGATGACATAGTATTATTGGCGAGAACAGCAGAAGACCTAAAAAAAATGTTAAAAGAACTTGCGGAAGAAAGTGCGACAGTGGGGTTGGCAATGAACCCGGAAAAAACTAGGGTGATGACAAACGGATACAAACATGCTATAGATCTTGAAAACACTGAAATCCATTATACAGACGAGTACGTATATCTAGGGCAACTCATAACTCAAAAATATCCTATGCAGAAGGAAGTAGACAGAAGAATTACTAATGGTTGGAAGACATACTGGAGTTTAAGAGAGGCTATGAAAAATAAAGAACTCCATATAAACTTAAAATGCAAACTTTTTAACACATGCATACTACCTGTTCTTACGTACGGGTGTCAGTCATGGTCCTTGAACCAGGTCACCTTAAACAAACTAGCAACTTGCCAGTATGCAATGGAGAGGAGCATGCTAAACATTAAAAAGTCCGACAGAGTAAAAAATATTGCCATTAGAAACAAAACAAAAACTACCGGTGTAATAAGCAAAATTAAAAGACTCAAATGGCGATGGGCTGGTCACCTGGTAAGAGGACATGACAAATGGAGCAAAAGGGTGACATGGTGGTACCCAAGGGAAGGCAAAAGGAAAAGAGGCCGACCACAGAAAAGGTGGGACGATGACGTTAGACAAGTGGCAGGAGTCACATGGAACAGAGTGGCTCAGGAAAGAAAGGAGTGGAAAAGGTTGGAGGAGGCCTTTGCCGACTGGCAAACAGATCTAGGGAAGATAACCAAACAACAAATTTTAGTCTAAATTGTGCATACATATTAAGTTTTATATTATAGTGCTAGTTCTTTATATAAGTTTAAAAACCTATTGTACTAAGAGATCTGATTAAAAGGCTATATTATTATTATTATTATACACTTATTGCAATTTATGTCTGTTGAACAAAGGGTTCTCTATTTTTCAAACGACATATTGGAGTGTCCAAAACCAAGGGTTGTAATAATATGAGTAAGGCACAATATAAAAAAGACAATACCATTTACTCTTCTCTGCATCACCCAAAGGTCAGACTGGTAAACGTGGTGGTCACGCCTTTTATCTCCGAAGGGGTAGGCAGAAGTGTACATTATGCCACTGTACAATGCAACACCCACTTTTCACTATTTATGTTATGAGTCCCATGTAATAGGGGGTGAGCCTATCACCGGATATCGGGCACAACCCCAGACTCCTGATTTTTTTTAAAAACTCAGTAGTATTTTGCCCGACCTGGGAATCGAACCCGGCAGCCGCACTTGCGGCCACTTGGCTAATGAGGAAGCCTGCGGCATTAAGTCCACCTATTTGTACATTTTGTGCATGAAGCATAATAAATAAATAAACATAAATAAATAGTTCAATATTTTATGGGCTATGGGCATAAGAAATAAAAATGCATGCTTAAAAAACTTACTGATATAATATATTATTATCTTACATATCCGTATGCTTAAATATTAAAATTATTCTAATGTTAAGGCTACATCAGTCACAATTGGTGTTGATTCGTAAACTCAAGGATTCGGACTGGTCCAACGAAATAAATTATTTTTAAAACATTTTGGAGGTAACATTCAAAGTCATCATTTAATTACTTATAATGATGAATTTGTCTTCTTTATCCTCATTAGTAATGTTAACACGAGCTTTATTTAAATAAATAACAGCTGTAACATTATCTATCATAAATTTTTTGCAGTAAAACAGCAATATTTTTTCTTCTACATCTATCACATTCATGGCAATATCTTCACCACTTGAATCCACGAATTCCACCAACACCATAACTTAATCCAAACTTCTAAAATCCGCATCATTATTAAATACAAATGATTCTACTTTAACATTTAAATGCATATCTACATAATCGGAATGATATTGTGATTTATTTAAAATTGTCTTTACTTCATTGAGCACGATGTTTTACACTCGATTTTCTTGGCTCCATCGCTTGCCCTTCCCACGGCAAGCGAAGCCACTAGAAATTGGAGAACATCACTAACACATTTTCAATTTACGGTTCAAGATTCTGCATAGTCTTTCCTCATTAGATCAGCGTCTGATTTACCGATATTTACGTGGATTGTGATGGCTTCATCGGTATCAGATTTCATTACAACGTCGTTCCATTGTACTTCAGCTTTCTTACCATAAGCCTCGTTTTCTATGAGAATAGCTGATTTTGTGCAAAGAGCTTTGCTTTGGAATTCGATTAAAGCGCAGTATTCGCTTTTCTTTGTCTCTGACTTTACATCAGCAATGTATCCGAGTTTCCTCCTCATCACTTCAACTCTTACGTGGTAGTTGTAGATGCATACTTTGATGATGAAAGCGCTCTTTTGGTGCAGCAGTATGATCTTGTACTTTGTTCGGCAGCACGCTGTCTTCTTCAGCTTTGTTTGGAAGTTTTCTATGAGAATCTTGATCTTCTGTGAGTAGACCGCGATGATGTTGTGGGTCTTTTGTAAATGTGATGAGAGTTCTTCGAAAGGAACTGTGCAGCAGCCGGCTGTGATGGGGCAGACCATGGTGTCGAATTTGCAGTCTTCTTCATGCTTGACTCTGGTCACAGCAGTGAGGAGCTCTGTACATCCGCGTCTGTGAACAAAGATATAGGTTTATTAGTCTCTGAATATTAATTAAGAAACAGTAGGTAATGTTTTTTAATCATCAATATTACATTTGCATTAATGAGGTAAATTTATTATCAAGTTTATTTATTGCGTTCAGATTCTTATGTAAATCGATGACAACATTTGCAATTGCAGCCACAAGATGTTCTCCGGTAATAAATTAAATACGTGTGGAAGGCATATTTATGTTACTTGATTGTATATTATATGTTATTTAAAAACTCTTATGCCATGTTTTGAAATATTTATTTCAATCGACGGTACTTGGTGGTACCAGCACATATGGGCATTAGCATTAGGTTTTTAAGAAATTTAATAATTTATGAGCGTAAAATTACGGCACGGAATGATGTAATGTGAAGTTATAATAAGAAAAACAACCACTATGTTACCGTATGTGTTTATACGTATTTTTTACAATGTAAATTAAATCACGTGCTTCTAATAAATGTATTTAATTTATACATATTTGAAATCACGTTCATGCATCTACTCTTGTATATAATTACATGAACTCTTGATTGATCTGAAGTCTACTTTATGTCTATTAAAATAGATCACAAAATCAGGATGGCAATGATATTAACTAGACAAACTCATGAAATGGATATAGCAAAGCTTATGTTGGTGTGACATCACTATAAAGATAAATAGGCAGAGGGAGCGTAAGGGCGTTAACAAGCTTAACTTTTTAATTTTAGGTCTATTTTACTCCAGTAGTTTTTGATAGTTTTTAAAAATAACATCTTCTACGTAACTACGACTACCACCCACTCTGATCTTTCTCCAATTACTATACTGCAATAAACGTCGTAGAAATATTGCGAATTCCCAAAAGTATTTTGTCTTTTTCGGGTGATTATGCTGTAAACAACAGACTTATTAATATCTAACTCGATTTTATCAAGAAAATAAAATCACCAAGTTCTCAGCTACCCTTAGCAATAAAACCGTAACTTTAATCTACCAGTTACTATCAGGTTTATGTCCAAAAGTTGCGGTTTATTCGACAAACAACTGATCTTATTGGTTACATTTATTTGGTGCCTTTATGAGCCGTTTACGATGTTACTCACAAAGTGATTGGACTGTTCATTGATTGATTGCTTCCAGTATTTCAAGGCGTCCTTTTTATTTTATTGTTTTAGGTAGTAAAATTGTTTAGTGACTAATTTTATAACACTGTTTATTAATATAATATTACCTGTGCATGCCTGCTGGATACGGTATTGCCTTTTTAATTAGCAATGTTTTAAAATACTTTAGGAAGTTTTACAGAAATATGTATACAAGTAGGTACAAGTTTAGAATAAATATTTATACGACCTACAGATAAGTTCCGGATTCAGCTGTTTGTGTGGACGTAATGTTTGTAAACTTTGTCAACGTATCGATGAACTCACGAAGTGCTTAGAAGGTCATAAGATGTCTAAGTTCACTATACTCTGTTTAGATATATTAATTAATAATTTTATTGTAATCTTATTTTAGAGACACCATTAGGTATCTATTTTTTAGTGTAAATATGATAATCGCTTTACTAATATTTAGTGGTTTAGATGTAAAGACAGTACTATGTCAGAATATCAAAATGATGCATTAGAATTTAATCTTCCTGATATTATAGATGCAAAAGTTGTGTGTTTGTTCTATATGTTTGTTACTCGGGTTGGAACAGGGATAGAGTATGGTCTGGAACCCATGGATGTGTGGGCGAAGTCACGGGCAGAAGCTAGTTCCCAATACATATGCTACTTCATTGGAATACATATCAAGTATCTGATTACATTCAAAGAATTTCAATTCCCCTCGAGACAATACCGTCACTGATACCAATACGACACTAGACGTTGCATAAAGGAAATGCTATCGAGATTATTACGGACTATTTCCTAGGAAATGTCGATAGCATTCCTAGACTAATACGCAGCTATACGTCAGGCAGTTAGACTGGAAGTAATATTGGTATTGAATAAATACATATAAAACTACATTAGTTGCATTTTTTCTCTGAAGATGAAGATAAAGGACATCTTGAAATATTAATTATAATCTATATTTTGTCAGGTCTAGTGCCCAATGTTAAAGAAGATGAGCCTATGATCATACATTGGGCACAAATCAATGGAAAAATTCTCAATAATAGAATGCTATTATTGAGAATTTTTGAAATTTGAAAGATCTAATAGTATTAGTTATGAGAAAAAGAAGAGGCTCATATTCATGAGCAGTATACCGCCATCCGCGACTATATATTACTATCGCGCTGCTACTGTCGGCTTGAAACTAGTCGGGTTCCTTGTCAAATAATTTCGTGATTACTCACGGTACAAGCCGAAATACATGATAATTAATTTAGTATGTCCCACGACAGTTATAACATCAATCCAATAGCATTACTTTGTCTGACTTCTGAATCACTGTCCAGCAAAGGATCTTAGGTTTAATTTCCAAAACAAAACTAGAACACCTTGATAGACGCAGTTGCAATCTCTTAACCAACAAGTCTCAGTGTTGAATAAATAATTACTTTTTATACCCATAAAAGGTTTTAGGAGGAAAATGAGTACTAATAGTTAGGAGCCGCAGCTGCTCCAAAGATTTTATAATGGGGCTTTCCCTTAATTATGTGGTCGCAAGGACCTTTGTTAGTCGAGAGGTTCAAATGCAAGTGAGCCCCATGTTTGAAGCTCAAAAAATCTTATTTTTTTTAGAAAATTATTAGAAAGTACTGCTTTGTCTCCTAATAAATTAGGTCAGTAAAATGTAATGTTACTTAATAGGTAGGTACTACTAGATACTACTTCATAGGTTGTTTACTTAAAATCATAAAACAAAGTTTTTAGGGACATAAAGAGATTTTAGAATTCACAATAGTAAAGACGGTATTCCTAAAGGAAGTGCCTAGAAAAGTTAATCAAATAATGCAAATAATATTGACAAATAAAATTAATAAAGAAAAAAATATTTAATTGCGAAACCGACCTATAGTTCCGACACGGCAGCATCAATTCGTTGATGAGTCGCTGCAGCGCCAGACAGGGTAGTGCTGGCGATCTGAGAGCTCCCCTGCACCAGGCACACCTGGACATGCGCCGGGAACATCTTCCACACCAGACACCTCCACACCAGGGACATACGCAGGGTCCACAGCACTGAAAATGAGAAAAAGCTACATTAGTCTCTGATAAAACACTTTAAAGTATAGAATAGAATATTAACGTTAATAGGAATGTTGAGTTTGAAGTAAGGAGTTTCATAATCAGTTTTTTTTTTATTTAAATTCTCAGTGGCTGGCTGGTTGGCACGGCTATATGATTGAGCGTGGATTGAGTTTAACACAACAGACGATAATTATCTGTGGCTAGTATTTTCAATCGGTTGAAGACAAATTTTGATAGCATATCGTATGAGTATAAACTTAAAATAATTAAACTTTCAACCAGTAATTTAAATAATTAATAAACGGTTTCATAATATTAAAATACTTTTACATGCAGTGCATTCAAGTATTTCAAAGAACTTTGTAAGAATTTTCATAGTTCGTTAAGAAATAACATACTGGAATACTATGGAAGCAAATAGGTAATAGGTAATAGGTATAGGATAATTAGGTTAGGTTAGGTTAGGTTAGGGGATACTATGGAAGCAAATATCGAAACACATAAAGGAAAAGAGTTAACCTTACATAATTTGGCCGAAATGATTACTTTGAAATTAAAAGAAAATAATAAGTCAATACTACAGGAAATACAAACTATGATACAATCTGAAATAAATAAAGCGACCTTGAAGCTAAAAGAAGACATGAAACAAGAAACTAGTAACCTGATTGAGCAAAATGACCAGAGAAAAGCTGAAATAGAAGCACTTAATCTACAGATAGAAAAACTGAACAAAGAAACAAACTCCTTGCAAAATGAAATAAAAAAACTAGCAAGTAAATCATTTCCCTCTGAAAGTAACACCAAGAAATTTGTAATATACGGCCTTATAGAAAACCAAAGAGAATCTGAATATGAATTACACAATAGAATTATAAATGTATTCCGCGACACTTTACAAATAGACTTGTTGGGCTACATAGAGGACTCCTATAGGATTGGAAGACCAAACCACAACAGAACCAGACCATTGGTCATTGAACTTATTAGTAAAAGAATGGTTAAATACTTAATTAATAATAACAGACTACTCTATGGAACTGGGCTAAATATAACCGAATTCCTAAACGATGAAGAACGAAAAGAGATGAATATCTTGAGAGAAAAAATGCTTATTGCACGAAAAAAAGGACTCCACGCAGTGATTAGAAATAAAAAAATATTTATAGAAGGAGAACAAATTCATAAAAAAGAAGATTTAGATGCATACATTACGCAAAGCAGCAAATATGAGAACAAAAATAACAGAAGTGACGATGGCGAAGCTACTACTATACCTGATTTCGACCAGGAAAATCATACATTTCGAAAAAACAGAACAACCTATTAACATATTATTTCAAAATATCCAAAGTCTATACAACAAACAGCACATAATAGAAGCTTTTGTCAACGAAAATCCAAAATATCAAGCAATATGCCTAACGGAAACATGGCTATCCCAAGATAAATTAAATATGATACACTTCAATGGATACAAAATAGCAGCATCTTACTGCCGACAGAGCCGAGGAGGAGGCGGCGTTTGCATACTCCTAAAAGAAAACATAGAGCATATAGAGAGAAACGATATATCAAGCATGTCAATAGAATATGTAGTAGAAGTTTGTGCGTCAGAACTACCAAGAATAAATGTACTATTAATAACAATATATTGGAATAGAAGAGAGGAAGAAATATTTTACAATAAACTCACAGAAATATTAACGTATGTAAATAAAAAATTCTCTAAATTTAAAATAATACTCGGGGGGACTTAAATATAGATTTACTAAAAAATAACTTAAAAACTAATACCTTTCTTGATCTTATGTCTGAATACAAACTAACACAACATATAAAAGAGCCAACTCACATAACACAAACCACATCCACATGCTTAGATTTGGTATTTACTAACTTTAATACAAAAAATCTACTCACACATGTACAAGAAATGGGTTTTTCAGACCATTATGGTACTATACTAAGCTTTAACATACCACAGCAACAAAATAATATAAATTGGTATATAAAAAAGCGGTTGTTTAACTCAAATAGCATAAATAAATTTAAACAAGAACTAACTACAGTAAATTGGAGTGATATCATTACTAAAAATAATAATATAAACCAAAATTACCAAGCATTTAATGACACATACTAAATATTCTGGATAAAACTATACCAAAACGAAAACTAAAATTTAAAAATTATTGTAAAAAATACTGGTTAACTAAAGGAATACAACTTTCATGCAAAAATAAAAGACTATTAAAAACTTTATGTATAAAATCTAACAATCCAATTATAAAGAAATATTACAGAAATTATGAAAAAATATTAAAACTTACAGTAAACAAAGCCAAAAAATTACATTACATAAATAAATTAAAAATATCGCAAAACAAAACTAAAACTATGTGGAATATTATACGTGAACGTACCAATAAAATACCAATTAGAGAACCACATAATATTCAACTACAAATAAAAAATACTCTAATCTCAGATCCTAATCAAATAGTAAATGAATTTAATACATTCTTTGCATCAGTCGGGGAAAAAAGTATACAAAAATCAGACTATAAATCGCAGAACTTGCCTGTACTTAACTCCACTTTAAACACTTTCTTCCTTGAACCAGTGAACTATCGTGAAATATATAATATCATAAATAATCTTAAAAATAAACAAAGTTTCGGTATAGACGAACTTCCTCCTTCCCTTATTCGACAATGTGCAAATGAACTTACACTGCCCTTCTGTGTACTAACCAACCAATCCTTTGAAGACGGCGAATTTCCTGATCTACTAAAGAAAGCTATAATTAAGCCAATACATAAAAAAAACTCTAAAACCGACCCGAATAACTACCGCCCCATAGCCCTACTACCAACAGCTTCAAAAATTTTCGAAAAAGCTATGTGCAACCGCGTATACAAGTTTTGCGAAAAATATGAAATTTTTGATGAAAGCCAAAACGGATTCCGCAAACAGCGTTCAACAACCCTTGCTGTCTATAAATATATGCAGGAAGCCATTAATATAATAAATAGCAAACAATATGCAGTCGGAATACTCCTAGATATGACTAAAGCGTATGACAAAGTCCAATTTAACATTCTACTAGATAAATTATATAAAATAGGAATTAGAGAAAAAGCGCACAAATGGTTTACTTCATATCTAAAAAATAGAGAGCAATACGTAGAAATAGATAATTATAACTTTGAATTTAAAGAAATTATAAACATTAGATCGGACAAAAAAATCATAAATGCGTCAATACCGCAAGGTAGTGTAATCGGATGTCTACTCTTCTTAATTTACATCAATGACCTCCCGAAGATTACAAAGGAACCGTGTGTACTATTTGCAGATGACATATCACTACTCACCTCATGCAAAAATATGAACGGATTAAATGAACGGCTCAAAAACACTTTTGTTAAAATAGAAGAATGGATGAGAGAACATAATCTTGAAATCAACTACCAAAAAACTAAATTAATAACCTTTCATCCATATCAAAAGTCCTCATTAGAAATAGATTTTTCAACCAACTGTATAAAAATAGAAAATGTTAAAGATTTCACACTATTAGGAATAACCGTAGATACAAATTTAAACTGGAAGACTCATGTAAAAAATATCCGAGCAAAAATATCAAGATTCGCCTATGCTTTCCGGGAAATCAAGAAGACCACTGACTTTCAGACTACATTATCCACTTACTATGCCTACGCATATGCGTGGCTTAGCTACGGAATTATTTTGTGGGGAAATAGCACAGACACACCTTCTCTTTTCACTCTTCAAAAAAAACTTATCCGCATCCTAACTAATATAGACCAAACTGATAGTTGTCAACCCTACTTTAAAAAACATCAAATACTTACCTTACCATGCATCTACATTCTGGAAATATGTAAATTTGTGAGAAACAATATTGCCTTCTTTACAAAACGTGGAGACAAACATGCAAACAGATCACTAAGACATAAAAACCGACTACTGTTACCTACTTCTAATATGAGCCTACATTCCAATAGTCCGTATGTAATGTCTATAAAAATATATAATAAGCTACCAGAAGCCCTAAAGGAAGAACCCAGAAATATAAAATTTACCAATAAATTAAAACAAATACTCATAAATAAAGCATATTATAATATTAAAGAATATATTAATGATAAAGATTTAAAATAAATACTGTAATTAAAAATTAAATATATGTACGACATATATAATATTAATGATTAAATCACCTATTACAATAGACATATTTAATATATATAACGAAAAAAAAATTAAAATAAATGTTTAATATATAAATATATGAACCTACATAGAATATATAAGTACATTTTACATAAATAATACTAATAGCATTACAAAATAAATTGAACAAAATAACTACTTATAACTAGTAATAAAAAATCTGCGATACATAATCTAAATAAAATTAGCGTCCTCCTCTCTTCTACGTTGCCGTGCCCTACAGGGTCCATACTGTACAATATTATTATGTAACACCTTATAAACATATGGAGTGCAATAAACGTATTGAGTATTGAGTATTGAGGAATAGTTATAAAATAAAGTTAGAAGTGTAAATAATGTCGTGGTGGCCCGGAGGTTTAGGACGCCTACTTCTCATGCATGAGGTTGCGGCTCAAAACCCATTAATTGCAAATATCAGTGTGACTTTTCCGAGTTATATGATGAAGAAAAAACATCGTAATACCTCACGATGTTTTTCTGATCTATTGGACCTATACTAATTTCCTGGACTTATAATTTCTAATTATAAGTTTGAAATCGCCAACTCGCATTGAGCAAGCGTGGTGAATAATGCTGAAATCCTCTCCATATGAGAAGAGGTCTTTGACACACAGTGGCAGAGGAACTTATTGGCCGTTGATGTGTGTGTGTGTTGAATTATGTCTGTAACTTAATTAGTTAAGTTATACATAACGAACTGATTATAGTTAGTCATAATACCGATGCAATGTGCATTAATAATCACCTCAGACTAAATCACTTGCATATAAGCTGTGGTTTGTAAACGTCGAATTTTCTCGAATAGGTATCGACTAATGAATGACAAATATGACGTTGGATTTTATTGTTGCACAATTATTTCCTTATTATTTAGTGTTTTCCTTGTTTGTATGTCCTGTGGGCCTATCACAGAAATGTTATTAAATAATTATGATGCTTTCAATGACGTTTTTGTTGCATATGGGATTATCCAATGAGACGATTTGTATGAAATTCTCATTTTTCTATAGTTATGAAATAATAATAAAAATAAAAATAAAAAAGTTTATTCCAATTACAAAAGGCATTAAAAAAAATTTATTGGAGATCACCTTTTAAGCAATGGATTGCTTGTGTTAGTTAGGAGACTCCGCACTTCCACATGACATTCTTTTTCTATAGTTGCTTAATCATTTCTAGTTTAGTTTATTAATATCAAATATATAAACAAAGTTTACTCGCCATTCAAAGCTAAAATCAATTTATTTCTCATTTAATTTTCTTTTGCACTTAAAAATGAAAAGTGTATTATTGGTATTTTACCTTTATTGGCTTTAGCAAAAGATTAAAAATCCAATCTCCTCGCAAAGGCGCTTTATCTATTGTTCGTATATAAAATTATATAAAACACATTTGATGTGTGTTTTATGGCGGAAACAACTATATAATTCGCTATAAAATATCTTTATTGCTATTATTGACATTAAACAAAATATATATGTACTTATCTGAACATTATAATATATTAGTTTATGATATTCATGAGTTATAATGTGACTTGTATTTATTATGTACCTACAAAGCTTTAGGCCTATCCCTATGTTCAGTAGAGTTTTTGGAGGAGAAAAGAAAGAAGATATATACCTTATATATTAAGCAAAGCAGACATTATTTTTGCTGGCTGATAATTATGCTGATGATTATTTATATTGAACTAGCTTCTTTCCGCAGCTTTGTATGTGCGATTCCATTTTCTCCCGTTCCCATAAGATTTTCAGGACATTTTCTGTTTTAAGAACCTTATCCTGATAATAACAATAACAACAAAAAAAATCTGCTAAATCGGTCCAGCCATTCTCAAGTTCTGGCGTGACAATGGGAAACATTTTTATAAATATATATAGATATATAGATAAACAATTAATGATCTCCAGAATAGCTAGACTTGTTCGAACAACTGTTTAATAGTACATTTTTTTCCCTGTTTGGTATTAACCGTAGCAAGACGGTGCACAAATATGAGGCTATTTGCACGGCACGTAGTCCCATATTAACAGTCGTTAAGATTCTTTCCTTACTCGTTTGCGTGTTATTAAGAATAGGTTCATGGATTAGAGAACAACTTTATATGAAATTAGATAAGAAAACTCTTTATCAATGGTTACACCAAAAAATATACTATGTTTCTACGAATCACATACAATTTTACTGGTAAGAATACCCAAATTTTAAATAATACGTGTACAATTTTTACATATGTATATCTATTTAAATAAATATATATGTATGTTTCCTAATTTTATGTTAAAAACGTCGAAGCCAAAGATAACAATGTAAATTACAAAAAGTAAACATTACATTTCGTATCTTAAAACTAAACACAAAGTAAACTGGCTTTGAGTTTGAGGAAACTTAATTTTGCCCTTGAAACAAAGTAAAGACCTTACATTCACTTGATATAACTTTGATCTTGTTACTTAATATTCACATAACGTCGTGTGCTTTAATCCAGGGTAGGCAGAAGTGCATATTTTTGACGTAATATCTATTCATAAGTTACTGATTATATGTGATAAAGGATGAGCATAATGAACTGAGCACAATGGTGGTGTTTTAAAAAACTTAATAATAAAATAGAGTCATTAATGAGAATTTTCAAAACATTGAAATAATTATTGCATCCTAGAAGTTCAATCCGACACCCCATATGTATCAATAGAGCGTGATACCATTCGATTTCAACATAGCATATTCATAACATCACGCCTTTTATCTTCGAAGAAGTAGGCAGAGGTGCACATTACGGCACTTAATGTCATTGTACAAAGTACTACTCACTTTTCACTATTTATGTTATGAGTCCCATGTATAGGGGTGAGCCTATTGTCATTTACCGGACACAGTTCCAGACTCCATACTACTACTGAGATTTTTAAAAACCCAGTAGGTAGGTAATACTTTACCTGGCCCGAGAATCGAAACCGAGACCCCTTGGCCGGCAGTCGCACTTGCGAACACTCGGCCAACAAGGCAGTCGATTTCAACTGATTGTTAAATCATTCGTAGATGTCTTTAATCAGCAGTAGGCGTCGCGTAGTTGATATGATAATATATAGATAATGTCTAAGACCCGGGTAATCCAAGGGTCTTAATTAACAAGGGTGCATAGCAACAAGATGGAATTAAATTTTGAAGAAAGGGTTTTAAACGAAGCCTTCTGCCCCATTTCTATGGAGAGTAACGCAAGTACAGTTAGGCTTATAATCCTTTTGCTGTATATTAAATGAATGAGATCTAACTTGGATGTAGGGATTTAGATATCTACGTATTTTTTTTTTTTTGTTTAACGCGAAGTGAGTATTAATTTTTGTATTTAGTTAATGATTTAATTAGAAAAAAGGTGTTGATTTATTTTGTTAATGTTATCGATGATTTTTGGTGTATTAGTAGCATGGAAGATATATTGTTCAGCTTTAAAAGATTAACTTGTTTACTAATCGTATGGTATAGAACTTAATAAAGACGATAAACGACATGTTAGAAATAATGTAAATGGGTTTTCATCCGAAATAATAATACAGGAAACCACAAAATTTTGACATTGGTACAAGAATCGTTTAGCGTCGGAAATAAGATTTCTTTGCCTTCAATTACATTTCGACAGATCAAGTGATTACGTCAGACGTGGCGTGATTTTGCTGACAACTTTGGTACTGACACCAATCTAATTATTTTTCGATGAATTCTCATGTCTGTATAATTTTTCTTGATTGTAATTTTCTAGTAATAATTTCTTACTACCTCGCACTGATTGTGATTTTTGAAAGTTTTATGATACTACATTTAGATATGACAACGCTGAATTAACTTTTCTTATAATTTTTAAACACTTACCCGTCCAACTGACACCAGCACAGAAAACATAACCTTATTACAAAACAATAAAGCTATCTATTTAAATAAACCTAAGTATAATTAAAATAACTCACTTGTAAAGGTTCCAAGCATATACTGCACTCTGAGAAACGTGAGATCAGTTCATCACAGTTTGGGCAGGAACATTGGGCTGCGTGGCCTTCTTCGGATGATACCAACGCAGGCTGGACTAGCGGGAGTGATTTATCTGGAAACAATGAAAAATATGTTTTTATTTTTACCAACTTCAAAAAATGAGGAGGTTACTATGTTCGGCTGATTATGTTTTTTGTGTTTGTTCACCGATTAGGCCGCCATTTGTGAACCGATTCCCAAAATTCTTGTTTTTTTTTTATTCTATTTTGTATATCTCTAATTTGCAATCTTGAGCCTCATGCTCACCACAATTTATACGTCTCCACGCATAGCATTATTACACTAGCACTCTATTCTATTATCATTTATAAGACCTGTATCTGTATGCACCTATGTTAACAAATATTGGATTTGATTTGTTATTAATAACATACACAATATATGTATGTACATACTTAACAATTTTTTCCAAAAGAGTAAGTTTAGGAGGACATGTTTAAAATAACACTTGAAGAAGAAAAACCATCTTAGTTTTCAGGTTAGGTTCATGCTGCAAACTATAGAGCTATAGAGCTATGTACAATTGTACACTGATCACTTTTCCCCAGCTTAAGCTAAAACTAAGAATCCATTAACAATTTCACCAAAATTATTGTAATGACACTACGACTAAGGTAAATGCCGTCAGTGATGATTAGAGAAGTAAAATGAGTAATTATTTCATAAATCCAAAGTGTTCCAGTATTTTGATCTTGTTGAAAGATTTCCTTTAGGCCTGTCTTATCCTTCTTGTTAGTTAAAGTATTCAGTAAAATTGTCATTAATAACGAATGTTATTAATTACTATTAAAGTAATTGGAAATGTCTTTTGTTATTATACTTCAATCATGATTTAACTTACATAACATAATGGCGTGATGCCATTTATCCCCGAAGAGGTAGGCAGAGGTGCACATTATGCCACTGTACAATGTAACACCCACTTTTCACTATTTATGTTGAGTTCCATGTAATAGGTGGTGAGCCTTTTGCCATATACCGAGCACAATTCCAGACTCTGTGCTACTACTGAGAATTTTTAAAAACCCAGTAATATTTTGCCCGACCCGGGCATCGAACCCGAGACCCCTTGCCCGGCAGTCGCACTTGCGACCACTCGGCCAACGAGGCAGTGATTTAACTGAATATTTATAAATTATTTGTTAAATAGTGGTCTAAGATCTTAATTCGTCATAGTTTTGACCATGTGGTCAAAGTCACACCCACATGGGTGTGACTCTAGTTCGCTATGACGATGACGCGTCACTTCTCAGAAGATTTTGTCATTGATGACCTCATGATAAAACGGTAATTTATCCTGAAAAGGCATTGTGACTACAATGTTACAAATAGATAATTAGTTAATCAACAATTGTGAGGAAAAAATTAAATCCTTATCAGGTTTTTTTACTACACTTCGTTAGGATGTTTCCTGTATTTTCGTAAGTTTACGCCATAGGTAATTAAAATTAAATTTTGTGGATCATCCAAAGATTTGCTATACACACGAATCAACCAGAAACCAGCCATAATATTAATCACTTATATATAATTAAGATCACATATTAAACTGTCTAACACCAAGCGGTCACCGGTGACCGCAACCTATTGTTCTTTAATTGTGTCTATAAATACGGTACTCGACGAGTTAAACGAGTTATAAGATCCTTTAATATAATCTAAATCTATTAATGACATAAACATTAAACTTAATTACTTTACTTAGGACTGACAGAACTGTTCTAGAATAGCACTTGGAATATTTCCAAATGGAATGAACTTGATTATTTATTGACTACGCTAACAGAGGACTATTATCTATATAAATACTACAGAAAATATTACTGTATCTGTGTGCACATAAGTACTAGCACTAGATAATAAAAAAAAACTGTTCTGTTTAAATTAAATGTCGCTTATGCTGATCATGATTGTGGGCCCCCAATGTCGCTTGAAACTAGTCGGGTAATGTCACGGAAGAGTAACTTGAATAATCTGTAGAACCAAATCATTTTCTTCATGATTAGTATGTTTACTTTCAGTGAATAACATGGGTTACATACATTATTAAACCTTTTAATTTAACATAACATAGCGTCACACCTTTTAGCTACGAAGGGGAAGGCAGTATGTGTACCTGCGCATTACGGCATTTAACGCCACTGTACAATGTAACACCCACTTTTCACTATTCATGTTAAGAGTCCCGTGTAATAGGGGGTGAACCTATTGCCATATACCGGGCACAATTACCACTAAGAAGTTTTTTTAAAAAACTCAGTAATACTTTGCCCCACCCGTGAACCTGAGACCCCTTGCCCGGCAGTGGCACTTGCATACTTAGCCAACGAGGCAGCAACGACTTTTTAATTTCTACTCGGTAAACTTTAAGTACACAGATGGAGTCACAAGTAAAATAGTAATTTAAAAAGCGATTAATTAGTACAATCATCAATTTAAGTATATGTACTCATATCTTTATTATTGCCAGTTTAATAATAGTTATCAGCTTATATAATATTATTGGCTTGATGCACGCGTGTTGTTGTGTTGCAATTTTATTGCTAACTAATGTAATTGGAGGATAAATAAACTTTTCATTTTATGAATGTAACTTTGTATCATTGAGATTATTAATGAGTTTTGTTTTGGTGTCTAGTTTTATTCAATATAATCTTTGCTATAGTGGATAATGTGAACCTCATAATATAAAGATACGTTTATCAGAATTCTAAATTTGATCTGCTTCATTGCAAAATCATAAGGTCTATTGAGAGAAGACAATTTATTGAAATCTTCACAGTTAACAAGACTATGTGTTGATAGAGAATTATTTAAGAAATTGTTTAATTCTTATGTATAATTTCAAAGGAGGTAGCCAAAGTATACATCAGTATATTTCTACCTACCCTTTTATGGAGTAAGAAGCCAATCTTTACGAATATCTAACATTTATTTCTATCTAGCCTTGAATACGTGTCAGTTGTCCGTTTGTCTAGTTAACCATTCGATTGTTTGATAATATTTTCAAGTGCAATGCATGTTACGTCACAACATACACTATTATATTGAAGTATTCGTCACTCCAAGTAATATTATCTAAAGTGGTTCTTATAATTTGAAGTTTAAACCTAAAGTGTAGATAACATTGAGTGCATATTTGCACTGCATTTGGCATTGATAATATCATTATCAATACTCGATTCCATTACGATTATGATAAAAATAACAATTGCACTTGTATTGATGTTAGTATCGTTACGTGAGTTTAAGTATTTGAGATAACTTTTAGAAGTAGTATCATAATGGTTTACTTGTAATTGCTAACAGGCAATTATAATTATTTATTTTATAATACAACAAAATGCACAAAATCAAAAAGAAGAAGAAATTAAATGTGGGAGAGCCATTCGGCGCGAATTCGCCGGTTCGACCGGAGCGATACCACGGCCTCACAGAAAACTGACGTGAAACAACGCTAGCGTTATGTTTCATCGTGTAAGTGAGGTTACTAAAGGCCCCATTACTATAACTTTAATAGTCATAAAATATAAAAAAAGTAAATAAAATTATTTCCAAAGAGCTATAGGCAAATATTAAGTTCATAACTTAACAATTTACTGATTACTTAGTAAATATAATTCTGTTTACTTTTCTATTTAGTAGGTAATAGTTTTCATTATAACTACTGTTATGCTGGTACTATTTTACTAACTAGTGTTAGTACTTAAGTTAAGTGGTCTTTAACTTAATAGAAATCTAAGCTAACTGCGAAATACTATGTGTTTCTTAAGAATTGTAGCATCATTTTATTTAACCAGTACAGATAGCTGAAACAAAGTAAGTTATGGGTACTTTTTTCCTATCTATCTTGGGGTAACATTCTCTTATAAGAAGATTGTAATAGGAATATGTTACATTATACATTAATGTAAATATGTGGATTTTGATAGGAGCAACTAAAGCCAGGTACAGTTTTTTGAATTGTAGGTATGCCTGTGCACGTCAAGCAAAAACTACAATACAAAATTGAAAAGCGGTTTTAATCACTAGATTTCATACTTTACATGTGACAATGTATAAAGTCTGACACAAGTCAGTTTTGTAATACTAATCCGACTGACCTACGTCCAAGAAACATTGTTCACCGTCCACATATTTATAAATTCACTTTTTAAACATTAGCTTTTAATAGCATTACTCGCTTGTATTCTTAAAAACCTCGTATTAAAGTGATTCACAGTACCTGATGTCAATGAGCTCATAATCTTTCGCACTGCTGATAAATTGTTGATGATACAGACGTCATAAGGTCACTATATTATATAACAATATGCCACGCACGTCAGATAAACGTCTTAAAAAAATTTCGCAATACGAATGGCCTTGTACAGCGTATTATAAAATGATTCGCTAATTCTCAAGTCTTAGATATGGTCATTTTGCGTCGTTTAAATTTGTGTCTTTTGAAGCGAGAATAACAAAATTCGAATCGGTTTAAATGGGGGGTTCCGTGGGTGAAAAAGTGACGTCTCATCTCTAGCAAGTTCGAAATACAGATAGTTAAAGATTCGTAAAAATCCTTGACGTTCATTGTGTTTTTGGTCAATCTGCGTAGGACTTTCCTTCAAATTGAAGTTAAGAATAAGGAAAAACAAAATCGATGTAACTTACTGGGTGACGAAAGAAAATATTGAAAATAGGATTATTTCAATCATAATATTAGTGGGTAAACGTTATATTAAAACGTGAAGCAATAGATTAATAGCTCCGTTGAAAGAGAAAGGACATTTACAAAGTCTTGTCGAAAATCTAGACGGTTAAGAAACACACTGAAGGTCTGTCTAAAATATTTTGTTATTGAAATTTTTGACAAGGTCAGATCCATCTTTTTATATGCAAACTAGAAAACTGACAACGGGCTTTATGTTAAAGAACATAGAATTCAATTTAAAGTAAGGGTGGAAAAAGATGGCATTGATAAATAAGATATTATATATTTTGATTCATAATAATATCTCCAAAGTAATGATACAACCGTAGAGATTTAAAAAAATGATGATATAGTCTTGA